AGGGACGGGGGTGGTGGGTGGGAGGGAGGGGGCGAGGAGAACTGGAGGGTGTAACCTGATCCCACCGTGCGCAGGACCCAACGGTCTGAAGTTATATGAGACCAGGCACGGAAAAAATGGGATAGGCGGTCCCTGAAACCCAGGGGTGGATCCGGAGAAGAGATGGGTACGCTGTCCTCGATCGCAGCTTCAAAATCCTTGTTTGTTTCCCGGCTGCGTCTTGTTTTGGCCCTGGTTTTGGCCTTGGTTAGGCGTATTGTTGCGCCTACGTCTATTGTCCCTGCCCCGTCTACGGTATGGTTCCTGCCGAGGGCGAGGATGATACTGCCTCTGTGGAGGTTGGGGCTTGAACGGCTTCCTCTGTGTCACAGGGGTGTGCATCCCCAAGGACTTAAGGGTAGCCCGAGAGTCCTTGAGGCTGTGTAGCCTGGCGTCAGTCTGCTCTGAAAATAGGCCCGAACCCTCGAACGGCAGGTCTTGGAGGGTATTTTGAACCTCCGGAGGAAGGCCAGAAGATTGCAGCCATGCAGAGCGTCTCATCACTACACCTGACGCGATTGTTCTAGCGGCTGCGTCGGCAGAGTCAAGTGAGGCCTGTAACGAGGTTTTGGCCACCGCCTTCCCCTCGTCCACTAGGGCCGCAAACTCAGGTTGTGAGCCCTGAGGCAAGGCCTCTTTGAACTTGGACACAGATGCCCATGAGTTAAAGTTATGTCTATTTAGGATCGCTTGCTGGTTTGCTATCCGCAACTGGAGGCCTCCGGACGAATAGACCTTCCTGCCAAATAGGTCTAGTCGTTTTGCCTCCTTGGCCTTGGGTGCTGGGGCCTGCTGGCCATGCCTTTCCCGTTCGTTAACCGCCGAGACGACCAGCGAACATGGGGTCGGATGGGAGAAGAGAAAGTCAAACCCTTTGGACGGGGCAAAGTACTTCCTTTCTACGCCCTTTGCGGTTGGCGCAGAGGAGGCTGGCGTTTGCCATACGGTCTTATAGTTTGCCTGGACCGTTTTTATGAGCGGGAGTGCGATCCTGGAGGGACCCTCTGGGCTCAGAATGTCCACCATCGGGTCCTCCTGCTCAACCGTCTCCTCTGCTTGTAGACCCAAATTGAGGGCCACCCGGCGGAGCAGGTCCTGGTGCGCCCGGTGGTCAATAGGGGGAGGGCCGGATACTGTCGTGCCCGCCACGGCCTCGTCCGGCGAGGAGGAGGAGGTCATGGCTTTTTGAGCGTCCTCGTCCTCCTGTAGCTCCTCCTCGGCGGGGCGGCCCTCCGGGGTGCGCCCCCTGTCCCGAGTCAGGGACGGTGCCGAGCTCGGTGCCGAGTCCGCCCTCTCTGCGCCCGGTGGTCTGGAGACCGTGGCCTCCCTACGGGAGGTAGGGCGGCACCGTGGGGAGCGGGACCGGTCTCCTGAGGGGCCCGATCTCGAGGTTCTAGACGGAGGGCCTTGCTGATGATAGGCCCACGGCGTCCAGAACGGCCACTGTCCAGGATGGCTCCAATGCGGCTGCCAAGAGGCCTCGTGCTCTCTAGCGGCATGCCCTCTGCGGCCATATCTGGAAAGACCTGAGCCCTCTTCCGATGCCAGGGACGGTGACCTAGAGGGCCACGGCGGTGCCGTGGGGCGGTGCCGGTCCGGTGTCGGGGAGCGGTGCCGTCGGGACCGGGACCGTGAGTAGCGGCGTGCCGATCTGGACCTGGAACGGTACCGTTGACCGCGGGACCGGGAGTGGCTGCGGGAGGATGGCCTTGGGAGCCTCGCCATCGAAGCGTCCCGGCGCCTGCTCGAGCCGGGTTGCTGGGGCGGTGCCACGCTCGCATCGGGCCCTGACTGTTTCGTGGCCCGTTGTGCGGCGGGAAGCCGGGAGTCCACCGAGGCGGAGCTCGACCGGGACCGGCGCCGTGAACGGTGCCGAGATGGCGACCGCGACGGGCGCATCATCGCCGGTTTGCCCTTGGATGGCAGTCGCGGCGGAATGTCTGTAGCGCGGAGTGTGCTCTCGGAGGACAATTCAATGAGGTCCTTTGCCGCCTCAAATGTGTCCGGGGTGGAGGGCTGTTCCAACAGTTCCTCCAGCCCATCCTCCGCACTCGACGCGCTCGTCCCGGGGCTCGACGGGCCCTTCGGCACCGGAGCCACTGGTGCCGGGACTTGTACCGGGGCCGTTACGGCCTTGGCCGCACTTGCGGCCTTCGCCGGCGCCGCCTTCTTATGTGGGAAGCGCCCCCGGGCCTTAGGCTGGCCCTTCGACTTGGCCGGCGAAGAAGATCGATGCCGGGCGTGTTCCCGTCTTGGCGGTGCCATGGGCTTAGTCTGCGCCGCCGGTGTCGGGTCGCGGACCGATGCCAGGGCACTCCGCACCGAAGCGGACGGTGCCGCGGAAGAGGAGGGCTGTAACGCCGCCTCCATGAGGAGCTGTCTAAGGAGAAATTCCCTCTCTTTTTTGGTTCTGGGCTTGAAGGCCTTACAAATTTTACAGCGCTCCTTCTGGTGAGCTTCCCCGAGGCAACGGAGACACGACTCGTGCGGGTCGCTCACTGGCATAGGCCTGCAGCACGCGGCACACGCCTTAAAGCCTTGGGCGTGCGGCATGCCCCGCCGCCCAGGGCCGGTGCCGGGGTTGACCAAACCCCTATCACCAAGAGATTTTTGGTCCTTAGAAGAACTAAACAACTACTTAACACTAAAACTCTTAACTGTATTATGAACTGCTAACTATTGCTAATGGCTATGCTAAGGGACACTCTCAGGCGAGAGACAGAGTTGTTCCAACGTCGCCACGGGCGGTAAGAAGGAACTGAGGGAGGGTCGGGCCGGCAGGGATATATATACGCGAGGGCGGGGCGCCGCTCTGGCGGGAAGGGGGACCCTGCGGGCCCGACGGGAGCCGCTGAGGGAAAAAGTTTCCGACGATTCGTGCACGCGGCGCGCGCACACCTAATGTGGAATGGACGTGAACAAGCACTCGAAGAAGAACTGGATCTTATTAGTGGACATGAAGTAGAATTTATTTTCCAAAGCATTAAAGTTGCCTCAAGCCTGAGCCATACATTGCTTTATTTTCCAGTCCTATCATGTACTTCAACAATTCTATCATCATAATATAGCTTCCTTCTAAATTAAAGTAAACGAGAGCTACTGGCTATTTTCCCTTGTGATAGAATCCTTTACCATTTTAAGCCAATGCCAGTAGATTCAATCATTGCTATGTTTATCTTGCAAATTAATCTGTCCTTCAGGTTCTACAGCGCTCCAGATTTTAAACTTGATGTATGTTTTCTAACAGCACCTTAACTGTGCAGGGCCCCGCCCATGAGGAGCCGTCACTACAAGATGGGGTGAGGAGGGACTAGGAGGATACATGTTACTACAGTAGTTACTACTACTACTACTACTACATGTTCAATACCAGAAAGATACTGGCAGGTGCAGCCTTACAAATATATTACAAGCCACTGTACTTTTTAATTTCTTAAGAAATAGTTTAAGTTAAAAAGTGTTCCACACCAACAGTGTCAGTAATACAGAACAGCAGTTGTTCCACTCCACAAGATATATTTACTGTATGTTACTAGAGGAACAAGAATGGGAACAAGGTCAGCCACTTCAGTAGAAATATCCCCTACACTGGACCAAGCACTGCAGAAGGCCCTGTGCAAGTACTGTGTTCTGTACCTGGAGAGAGCTATAGAAAGGGACAAGGCAACCTGTACCATCCACCACCTGAGTGGTAGAAGCCAGTGCAAAGCCAGCTGCATTCATATACACACTAGGACCCTAGGGTGAGCAGGCTGCACCTCCATTGTAAAGCTAGGGGGCACAGGCTGCACTGTAGAATCCCATGTATGTGGCTACCCCTGGCTGGCAGTGCAGTCCAGTACATGTGCACACCTGCTGCTCTCTGCTGGCTATTTGACTTCTGCTGCCTTCAGTGCTGGAAGCTGAGCACTGTGCTGGCTCAAGTCTGCTCTCTCCCATTATTCACCATCACTTTGTTTCTTGTGCCATGTGTCTCCAGTTCATTCCTTGCTCATACTGTGAATTAGGATTTTTTTTCATCTTATTTCTTTTCCTTTTAAGATGATTTAGGTGAATAGCTTTATTCAGGATGTTGATTATTCTTGCCTAGGAACAAGGTGGTATTTAAGCTCTCCTACATTCATTTAACATCTGCCCAGTGGTAATTTATTTCTCAACCCTGTTCCTACGCCCTCTCCCTTAAAACATGTTCTAAAAATAGCCTACTCCCTCACAGGATTTCAGTGCTCCTGCAGTTCCCAGTAATGTCAAGGTTTGCAGACTCAGGGCTACGTGCTGCACTATGGAAGGGTGCCCACCAGCAGAGAGGGCGGGTCTTACTGGTGCTGCCACCATCCACTGCCTGCATAACTGCCTCAGCCGAGCTATGGCTGAACGTGTGAGAGGATACTGTGGGTGTGGCTTAAAGTTAAGGGACAGGTCAACCATTTCTTCCCCCAGTCAAGATGCTGTACCTGTCCACGTGACAAGCTCTGGAAGAATCCTACTATGTATGTCAGGGTAGGCTGGGTTTCAGAGAACTGACTCAGGCCTTTGCCCTCTTCCAGCCCCATCAGCAGTAACGTGTCAAAACAGCTCCGTCTTGCCAGCAACACACCCTCTCTGCCCTGCTGGATTTCCCCTTTCTTCACTGGTGTTTGCACTCCCCCACCTTCTGCATCCACTTACCTGCTTTCTCCCTTTTCCCCAGTGAAAACCCACCTTTTCAGCACCTGACGCAATTCTCTTTTTCCTCTCCCACAGCTGCTGACAGAGGTGGATGAAGTATTGCCCTTATTGGCATGGCTATGAGGCTCTGCTCAAAGTGTGTGTGGGCAGCAGCTCTAGAGGGAGAGGGGAACATGCAGAAAAAATTGTGCCTCTCCCCTCTGGCCTGCGGATTCACTGAGAGCCCAGCCACCCACTACTCTCAGCTAGAAGAACACTCTACCCCCAAACAAATGTAACGTTCCACATATTACCTCATCTCGGCTAATGAGCTCGTTGGAGAATGTCAGTCCAGGCATCAGACCCCTCTTCTTCAGCCAAAATATAGCAGCAAAAGAACCTGAGAAGAAGATCCCTTCCACTGCGGCAAAGGCAACCACTCTCTCCCCTGTTCAATACAATACACTGGAAATTAAGACTCAGAAAAATCAAATTTGCTTCTAGTTTGTCAGGTGTGCAGCTTACATCAGACACATTGATACTGAACAGCACTAAATCATCATCCACTTAGGTACCATATTTATATTTCATCACATAGGATCCCACAGCATGCATGTACATGCACACATCATCATTTACCCACCAATGAAATGCAACCACATTTGGGGTGAAATAGGACAGCTATTAAAAGTGCTCAACACACAACAGTTTAGACCAGGAAGAGAGGAAAAATAGCACATCCAATTGAAAGTAAAAGGGGCATTTCGGAAGGAAGAATTTAATTGCCCAAACTGAAATCTGGTCAGGATATCAGGCCTAATACCCCTGTTCCTCTTAGTAGAAGGTGGTTGTGACTAGTTGACAAGATTGGGAGATGCAGACTTCCTATGTGAGCCTAACCTGTCTGGCTCTCAGGTTCCTACATAAACGGAAAAGTAGTCTCCTACCTGATAGAGGCAAGACAGGATGCAATTCATTAAGATTTGTAAAGTACTCGGCTTTCTACAGCTTCTTCCATCTAGGAAGTTAGAGCATTATTCTTCTGACTCTTGTAAAAATAGCTGAAAATCTTTAATGACCACAAATGATCTGAATCTGTTTTATGCCTTAGCCTAATGACAGCACCTCCCACTGCCTAGTAGCCACTGACTCCACAAAGACTATTGATGTTAACTGCAGAGAAGAGTGCCACCTACTGAATCCCCAAGCACCACTTCCTGCAACATCAGGAGTGCTTCTTGGAGATCTCTCATCCAGGTAATGACTAGCCTAAACCTGTTCAGCCTCTGAGATTTAACAAGTTCACAGCCCAAGGAGTTATAGCTGTGCATGTAAACCCATACACTGAGAGGCTTAAAGGCATTTACCCAGAAAAAAATCTACACAAGTGCAGGAGATTTAGGATAATCTCAAGAGCAAATACAGCAATAATTAATTATTTGTTATGTTCAAAATTCACCAGAACACTTTAATCTTAAAAAGGCCTAATCAGAGCTGAATTAATGGTGAAATCCTATAAGGCACTGTACTTTGACATCCACATTATCAGCAAATGTATTCACAATTAGAGTCATTACAACTAACGCTAAAGGAATTCATAATCACTGGGCTGAGATTTTTGAAGTCTAACACAGAAAATTTTTTAATACATAACTTGGATACAGAAAATTTTGTTTTCCTTGTCTAACTTTTTAGAGGTGCTCACTTATAAATGCTCCATTTTAGGAAATACATTTGCATTTGGTACAATGGAAGTGCAAATATTCCTTTTCTATTACTTAATGCTTATGATGGCCAAACAGGCTAATCTCTTCAGCAGCCATTCATCTGAAATGGTTCCGCTGCCTTTTTAGCACATTAGTTTGCTGTGCAAGAAGAGATTCTTTTAACTGGTCAATTACTTTCAAAAGTTTTCTCTTTCCAACAGTGGAAGCGAAGGAACCAGAAAGACAAACAATGGAAGTGACTTGGGGAGGTCCACCAAGGTCCCTGCAAGGGGAATGCAGAGCAGAGTGATTATGGACTCCCATGAGGAAAGCTCATGATAAGGACAACCTGCACAATTCTAGTAATCAAGCTGCCTTGCAAACCAATCAGTGGAGCGTATAGCGGGTAACAGGCACAACAGAGGTGGAATATTTTTTGTAATGGAGCCATCACCCTGCAACAAGCAATGGGGGAAATGACTAAAGGAAGAGGGTCTACGACGAGTCTTGAATACCCCTTTAATCACAATGTATTTGTAACACATTCTGTGCATTAGCTAGATGGCATGATGACTCAACTTGTTTTCCACATAGGATAGACCCAAACTTTCCTCCTCACATTCCCTTCCAGCCAAAAATATACACCATAATATTCCTCACGGCATTGCTCTCCTAAGATTTAATCATAAAAGTCTTAGCAAGTTCTCTGGAAAGTGTCCCAGGGCAGGGCTCTTTCACTGGAGATCAAATAGCAGCTTGTCTAAATAAGCAAAATAATCTGTGTATCTGCACTATTAAGATCAGTAAAGTCAGTGTAGAAACCTCAGTTGAGGAAGGCCAACTAGACCGTACTGTGTCATGCATAAGAAACCGGAGCTGAGCCCTCAGTCTGGGGTTACCAATTATGCTCTTGTGAGACCTATTAAGTCATCTAGCCCCATCCCCCACCACTGTGAAATTCCTTGCACTACCTCTTCTAGTGCTTCAGCCAGCCTTGTTTTAAGTAAGTCCCAATTATGGAGCTTCCTCTACTTAAAGCAAGCAGTCAGGGCACTGAGTCCTACAGCGTCCCTGCCAGACTGCCAAGGAGAGCAGAAAGCACTTACCTAGGTAGTAGTGGCCTTCATGAAGGGTGTGTACTGGAAGTTAGGAAGGTACACGCTACAATACATCAATATCAGAGAATGGAATCTGCACCTGCCCCTCAACATCAGAGCTATTGTGGTGCAGGCTAGTGAAGTTGTGATCTCTATGGCCTGGCTCTATTAAGTTTAGGCTAGAAATTAGAAGGTTTCTAAACATCTGAAGAATGAGGTTTTGGAACATCTTCCCACTAGGAGTAGTGGGGCAGACAATCCCGCTAGATTCAAGATAGGAATGTAAATAACATATAAAAACAGTAGCCATATAACCGCCTCTGCACCCGGGGTCCCTCCCGGCTGCCGGGACAGACCCCAGGCACAGGACCCTGGGTGTGCTGGGATGCCAGGCGGCAACCAGGATGCCAAGCGCAGGGATACCAGGTGCGCAAGGATGCCAGGTGGCAGCAGAGTCCCGGGCATGCGGGGCGGCGGCTGGGAGGGACCCCGGGCGGAGTTTAATCATTAACAGAAACCGATAAGCATCAAGCTTATTGGTTAACCGGTTAAACTCTTCCATCTCTAATTCAAGATGATAAATTTATGAACAGGATTATATAACAGAGTTGTCTGTGATAGCAGGGGAGGGGACCCTATGATCCAAGAGATCCCTTCCAGTACTATGTCCCCAAATTCACTCCTGCTGCCTCCCATTGCTGCTGCCATCTCTTCTTCACCCCACCTTGGGCCATCCCTTACTTGGCCTCTCTTCCTCACACTCTACGCCCCAGTGCCTTCACGCCCATGTACTCCTCCCCACCAAAGCCCTGCTTCTATAGAAATGCATATTGTATTTTAAAGCATCCTGATGATGTATATAGATAAATATCCAGGTCTCCAGAGGTGCAAGGTCTGTGCATTAAACTCTGGCATCTTTGCCCCCTGTGCCCCACACAGATCATTTTAAGAAAAGGACATTCATTTTTCTACTCCAATGAATGGAATGCAGGTGCCATCTGCTGGTTTATTTAGGGGAAGGTCATATGGAGAAAAGAATTAAAAGACAAATAGCATATTTACTGTATTCCTGTAGTTCACGCAGAAGAAATATACTTGACAACTCTAAAAACATACCAGACAATCCTAAAAAATAAGTGTCTTATAAAGCTAACAATTAAATGCAATACCTGATAGTAAAACCCATATAGCAAAATTTCTTGCTGAATGCCTACTGGCTGGCTCCTGCATACTGAAATATGTAACAAAGTTCTTAATATGCTCATTGGAAATCTCAAATCAGGAGTGTCTATTTCTGAATACGCCTGAAGAAAACATAATGCAGTTGGGCTAATAGGTTCTTTTCACCCCCTAGCAATCACTTTGTATGCAGAAGAAACGACAGGGTCCTGCTGTACTTTGGAATGAACATACTGAGCAGTCAGCTGACAATGTCAGAGCTAATGAAACATCTATGCAACAAACATCTGGCAATGTGTCTGGTAAAAAGTGAAAAAAATGTATAGAAAATACAAGTTGCCTAAGCCACTAAAAGGAAAATAAGGTATAAATAACTATGTTATATCTGGCCAAGGCAACTCTACCAGCAGACTGCAGTAAAGGAAACTGTTCCCCCCACAACTGACATTTGGAACTTGACTAAACAGTTCTCAATAGTCTCACTGAAATATTTTCAGCAAAGCCACCAATAATTGTCTGAATTTTACCAAAGAAAAACCTTACTTGGGATGATCCCTCTTTCCCCCCCAAATACACAACGTAACCTGCACCTCACTTCTTCCCACCCAAAACAAGAGTGTCTATACTAGTGAATCAAACAAGTTCTCGCAGTAAGATGATTTCATTTTTAGTAGGAGGGGAGGGGTGCTTGGACATGCTCACACACCCAGAGTATTATTTGAACCCATGTTAAAGTCATAATTGCCTTTTTATCCCTTATTCATAACACAAGAACCCCCCAGAACTTTTACACCTATGATCCCCACTGGGCCTTGACATTGGCACACGTCATTAGCTCAGGATTAAGATCTACACACTGATCTGAATTTTTCTTTTTTAGACATCACGGTTGGACTTGAAACTCGAGATACACGTAACCCTTAAACTTTGGAGAAATTCTGCTCTGGAATATTGCAGCTCAGACGCAGAAAATTACCCTTTGTTAATCTGAGGCATATATAATGGAATCACCTAATTAAAAAGCTACATACCAAAAGTTGAGTCTCTGTCTGCTATCCACCTCAGGGCCCAATCTGCTTTCTTCTTGACACAAGGCATTGTTTCAATTGCATTAAATAAAAATTCTCTATAGAATGAAACAAAGGTAATATTACAAACACTTATATTAGTACCTAGAGCCCCCAGCTGAGATTGGGACCCCACTGTGCTAGACACTATACAAACACGGAGTAAGAGACAGTCTTTGCCCCAAAGTTTTTACAATCTAACAGACAAAAGCTACAAGGGCAAACAGAGAGAGAGAGGGAAAGTGACTTATCCAAGCTCACACAGCAGGTACATGGCAGAGCCAAGAATAGAACCCAGGTTTCTCAACTACCAAATCAGTATCCTATCCACTAGAGTATGGTGCATCTCACACTATAAGCCAGATAGTGGCCAGTTCCTGCTCAGGGAGACTCCCTTGCAGACCCCACACAGGAGCTGGGCACAATTTCAGCCCCTGTGGAATACAACTCCTGAATCTGGCTAGCACAGCTAACTGTGCTAAGTACCCCCAAAAGTTGTAGGGACATAAGCTTACAAAATGACATAGCAGCCATCTCCCCACCGCCCATGTACCTTGGAGTTCCAGGAGATACTGAGCTTCCCCAGTGCAAGATGCTGCCCTGGAAATGCAGCTCTGCATGACCCTCACTACAGGACCATGTTTCTCCACACATCTGCAGCCACAGACTAACTTTTTGCTATTGTTATTACTGTTAATATTTAAACTAGAGAGACTCTCTTGTTGACATATTAGCAACAAACAAGTTGGATGCAAGTAAAGTGATATAATATTTATTACCAAACCCAGATCAGTAAATAGCATTAAATTCCTAGAACGATCCATAACCAAACTGTTTCAATCTATCAATTATATTGCACTGTACAAATATTAACTAAGCCTCACAACACTCCTGTGTAGTAGGTATTAGTATTACTCCATTTTACAGATGAGGAATACAGACCAGGAAATGTTAAGTGATTTTCCTAAGGTCACCCAGCGAGTCAGTATGGAAAAGAAGGCAGGCGATATTGGCATGTGCTACATGACTAGCCCTCTAGACTGCACAGCCAGTACTGAGGTAATATGTTCAATAGCTTTGTGACAACTTTGAGAATTACCGTTTCTTGGGATTTTTGATGTAAGTGTCTATTAGCAAACTGTACATCTCCGAGTGAACATTCTCAATTAGAATCTGAAATCCATAGAAACAACGAGCCTCTGGGATTTGCACTTCCTGGCTGAATCGCTCCACCTACCAAGAAAAGTGCCAGTTAGGATATTAGCACTACCTGAGAGAATATTTTCAAGCCCTGAGATGAACAAAAACAACCTCCCTGCCATGGAGAAAGGATGGGGGCAGTTGGATTGAAACATTTCACAAACATGCATGCAAATAGCTAGCAGATTGTGGAATTATTCTTTGAGAGAGAAAGTGAAGTAAAGCTGCTGTATATATAGCTTATAAAACTGTAATCAAGAGGTATGCTGTATATGTACTGAAAGTATACAGCAGAGTACTGCAACACTGAAAACTTCACATTACACAAACACTCAGGATTTTGGTTTGATATTAAATAAAATGAACCTCAGTACTTCACAAAATCTCTATGTCATAGAGAATGTGTGTCTCCTTCTCCAACCTCACCCCATACTATAATGTATTCCCTAGATGTGTGCCCAGAAGTTATACATGCACAAGGTCCAGGATGGGCCATTTTCAGGCCTACACCACTGATGGTTTACGGTCGGATATCTTGCAGCCCAGCGTGACTACAAATGGCAAATCCATATCATCAGAAAGGGGAGATCCATCACTTCCTTGTAGATCTGGTAGATTCAGAGATATCCCCAACAAGTCACCTTAGTAAACACAGGTCCTTAGAATCGGTTTTACTGAGATAAGGAACACTGGCCAGGACATGGTAGTATCCCCTATATTCTTTTAAAAGTGCTATGCTAGGGAGAGATAGTATGATTTTAACCAACTCAAAGAGAAACACTGATGACACCACTGAAGAAGTTCACTCCCATCTTCCATTCCTAAAGAGCCAAAAACGAACACAGTCCACTGGAAGGGAGGACTTAAAGATTGTTTCCAGGAACGGAGTGGCTGGAATCCTTCAGACTATACAGGTCTGAGCCTTGTGACGTTTCACTCCATATTCTTTATGAAAATATCCTTATGATATGAATATGACACAACTGAGATATACTTTATGCAAGATGGGTCTTGTAAGATATCATTGGAAAGGTTATAATTTACTGAATGTGATTATCCAATTTGTATGCCTGTATCATTTCTGTATCTGAAGTTAGGAATATTGACTATGTATCTGTATTTCAATTATGCTACTTTGGGTGACGCCCACTGCTAACACTTCAGGAACAAAAATGGAAAAGCCAGACAGGGCAGTGGCCCATCAGCGAGGACAATGGACTGTGAAAAGGTTTGGCCTTCCTGCGGACCCTCCATACTGTCACTGACTCATGGACGCTGTGATACTACAAAGTCAGGTGGTCTTGTCACCTGATACTAAACATTACCTGGGACTTCTTGTAGCTTTCCACTGGATGGGAACGGGGGTCAAGTTTGGGAAACAAAGGATTTCCGCCTTATGTAAATCCTATTTAAGGGTGGGGAGGAAGGCAAACTGGACTCCTCCTCTCCATGATGTCTGCTCAAGAAGAAAGACTGCTAAAGCCACCTGAAGGGAAGGCAGGGGGGGTGTCCAGACTGAGACAGGGGTCCAGTCTGAAAAGGAATATAGCTGGAACTCTGAACCACAGAAACTTTGCAACCTGCCTAAAATAACATCATAACATTTTGGGTGAGAATTTACATTGTGTAACCTGTTTCTTAAGTATATTGAGCTTAGGCTGCCTACTTTGCTTTATTTGGTCAGTACTCTGCTTTATTCTGTTATCTCTTATAGTCACTTAAAATTCACCTTTTGTAGTTAATAAACTTATTGCTTGTTTGTAATATAACCCAGTTTATGTAATTTCTAACTGGGAGGGCAAGAAGTTGTGCATATCTTCCTCCACATTGAGGGAGGCGGCAAATTTCATAAAACCTTTGTGTTTGTACCCCTTAAAAAGACTGGGCACCAGAGCGTTGGAGCAAGCCCCTCAGGCTGAATCTTTCCAGAGCGGATCGCTGTCTCTCTGCAGCTGGGTGTGGCCCTGCTTGTGTGCTTGGCTGGAAGAGGCTTGTGAGCCTAACCCAGCAAGGCCAAGTAAAGGGGACCCTGGCTGGCAGAATAGGCTGACTCAGTGGCATCCCAGCACATCAGGTGACACTCCAACGGGCCCAAACCCGTCACAGGCCTAATTTGTCTTAAATATTGGCCCAGGGAGAACAGGTTGCTCAGATGTCTAAGCAAAACAGATTATGTGGAGGAGAGAAAATGCAACTAGTAAATATAATCAAGTGACTCTTTATTGTTAAGTCAAAATTAAAATGAAGAGTCTTTGCTAGCCAAATGAATGGTAACTCATGAGAAATGGGCTCATTGTAAAGATGCCTTACCAAATTTTCATTTACAATTCCATCGCTGGCTGCAAAAAAAGCCAGGACATGAGAGATGAAGTATTTTTCTTCTGATTTCAGCTTGTTCCAGTGAGGAAAGTCCTTTGATAAATCAACCTTATGGTAAAAAAAGAAAGAAAAATACAATATTATTGTCTTTTAATGTTGATAACTCACGAAGAAAAATAGAAGAAGCTTAAGCAAATCAGTGATGCTGGAAGTTATTTGAGACCAAACTTGAAAATGTTTAGAGAATTTTATTACATTTGTAATTGAATTTAAAATCAAACACAGTGAAAGCAATGAAGTACAGTAGTGTATCTGCCACCATGACGTAATTTAATTGCTTTTCAGCTTATAAATGACACCCCTCCCCCACCCCACACAAATACAGATCTTTGGAAACTCTGAGAGAATATGCACACCATTTAGAGTCACTAGAATGACCACTAGATGTCTGATACTATAGTGTGTCCGCAAAGATATTTCTAATGGCAGAGTAGAATAATTTACTTTTACATAGCGCCCTTCATCAGTCTGTGAAGGACTTTAGGATGAAAGACACTATAGAAATGGAAAATGACTTTATATATTGAACCACACAACACTGTAAATGCAAAAACTTTTCCACACTGTAAAGTGGCAAGATTTGAAAACCTCAATGTGTGTCAAAAAACAGAGATCCTTTCCAATGTGTCTTTAATGATACTTGCAATTAAAGACAGCATTTTGTAACGAGCCTTTAAAATGAAAAGGATTTTCTTTATGTGACATCTAATTTCTCCCACAAGACTACTGTTGGACAATAAGAAAGCATTACATATCTACTCTTCTATAAGACTGTGAATTCTGGCTGGGGTAGCTCTCCTGACTCCTAAACTGTGGGCCTTGTCCACTGGACCATAATACTCCCTAAGACACCTCAATGCACACTGGCAGAGGGCCCACCACACTGCAACGCATATCAGGCCTGACACACTCACTAACCCCATCACGGTGTGATCATAATATGCATCTAAAAAGGTGTCTTGTAAGGTATAATATTTAAACTGATCATATGCCAGTCCTGAAAAATCATTGCATGATGTATGTATGGGTTGTGTACAACGAGTTACATATGTGTACACTTAAAATGTGTTTGGAAGGCAGTGTACAAACCCTGCCTGCCCTAGATAAAAAAATGTCCATTTACCTGTCTGACCCGCTTGATTACAGGCAGAGGACAATAAGAGCACATTTACACATAAGGTAAACAAAGCTATCAAGCTAACAACAACGGAGGAGAGAGTTTAGTGAGCAGGCCAGGGGACAGACTCTGCATCCCAGAAAGACTTCCTGGCTCTTGAGACAGAGACAATGGACTTCAGGAAATATAAGGGTAACAAAAAGCCATTAATCCCTCACGTAAGGGACAAGAGACCAAGCATGTTTTATTTTTGTTTTGTCTGCAATCATACCTGTCTTTTTCTCTTGCTTAGTATCATAGAATCATAGGGTTAGAAGGAACCACAAGAGTCATCTAGTCTAACCCCCGGCCAAGATGCATGATTTGTTGTGTCTAAACCATCCAAGACAGATGGATATCCAGCCTGCTTTTGAAAACCTCCAGTGAAGAAGCTTCTACAACCTCCTGAGGCAGTCTGTTCCATTGCCCTACTGTTCTTTACACTTAGGAAGTTTTTCCTGAGATTTAATCTAAATCTGCTATGCTGTAGTTTGAACCCATTGCCTGTTGTCCTGCCCTCTGTGGCAAAAGAGAACAACTTTTCTCCATACTTTTTGTGGCAGCCTTTCAAGTATCTGAAGACCACTCTCATATTCCTCCCTTAATCTCTTTTCCAAACTAAACATACCCATGTCCATTCAGCCTTTGTGCGTATGGCTTGCATTCCTTTGAACATCCCCTTGATCATCTTTGTTGCTGGCCTCTGGATCCTTTCCAGTTTCTCTACATCCTTTCTATACATTGATGACCAAAACTGGACACAGTACTCCAGCTGAGGCCTAACCAGCGCTGAGCAGAGTGGAACTATCACCTCCCATGACTTGCACTCTATGCCTCTGTTAATGCAACCTAAAACTGCATTTGCTTTTTTTGCAAGAGCATCTCATTTCTGATTCATGTTGAGGCTGTGATCCACCACAACTTCCAGCTCCTTCTCAGCAGTGCTGCTGCCAAGCCAGTTTTCCCCCATTCTGTATTTATGCATTTGTTTTTTCTTCCCCAAGTGCAGCACCTTACATTTGCCTTTGTTGTTTATAGCCCAGTTCTCCAATTTATCAAGATACTTCTGAATTTTAGCTCTATCCTCCAAAGTATTGGCAACCCCCTCCCGCCCTACCAAACTTTGTCTCATCTGCAAACTTGATCAGTATGCTCTCTCTACCTATATCCAAGTCATTAATAAATATGTTCAACAACACTGGACCCATAGCAGATCCCTGTGAACCCCACTTGAATCACTTACATCTCTGTTCTTTACTAATAAACTCATTCTTGTTTTATTACAAAACCATATCAGTGGTGTATGTTAAAGTGAAGTGTGAGTCTTCAGATAACCTAACAGGCTGGCGTGTACACTCTCTCTTTGAAGGCAGCGAACTTAATAATTTCTGTGAGCATCACAGTGAGACGTCTCTGGGGTTCACTAACTGTTAACTGCATGGGCAAGGTTTAGACCAGCAGAGTCTCAAGGACAGACTGGAGTGACAGGGAGTTGACAATCTAATCTCCAACAAGGCTGAGACTTGCTGAGGCAGAGAGATCACACCGTGGCTTACAATTCTGAGTGTCCCGAACAGAACATCACACTCACCTCTTCTGCTGTCCAGAAGGAAGCTTGTGCCTTTTTATACATGTTCCATATATCCGGGTATTGGAGTGGGAAGATGACAAATCTACGAGGATTTTTTCTGAGAAGAGGCTCTTCATTTGGTTTAAAGTCATTTTCAATAGCATCTGAAGAGAAACCCTAAAGAAAAAGCAATGTCATTTCAGAGGATTGTTTCCCCGTTATTACTCCACCACTTACTTCCTTTTTACAATTCAACTTAGGAAAGAAAAAAAAATTTCTTTGAATTAAACCACTGAGATATGCACATGCCTGAACCAAGTAACCGCAGGATCTTCTGCTGTAACCCTTGCTCTTCCGTCCGCCATCTCTATTATTGCTTGCCATAGCTTATTGCTTTGTCTTTCTGCCTGGCTCTACCTAGAACAATTTTGAGTGCTATAAATTAATAAGTACCACCACCAGAAGTTTGCCTTGTACTAGGCAATGTACAAAGAATGTCTGATTTTTCACTGCAAAAAAGTCTCTGTGCAGTATGATGGAGAAACCCAACTTGCATTTTCAAGATTCATGGAGCAAACAACATTGAACTGAATGCACATACACATGCAAGCTCACATAACCCACTACCAGTTTGTGTCTCGCACAGTTACTCAGGGCTTGTCCACGCAGGGATGTTACACCTGATTAGCTCTGGTTTGCTCCCATTAAAGTCCTTATGTCCACACATACTGTTTTTAAGTACATTATTCGGCGTCTCAGATTGCAGTAGTTAACCCTGTTTGGAACAGGAAAAAAACTTTACATTGAGGTTCCCCTCCCCCCACCACTTTAGAGTTTGTGTGGATGCATTCCTAACTACTCCAATTCTGGCAGTCCTCCCACTGCTACCAGACTGCAATGCTTTATACCTGCATCAACCTGTCTGTGTACCTGTGTGCCTTCGACTGCTCAGATTTCATCTTCACTGGACGTCATCCTCCTATTTAAATGCTGATGAGTAGCCAGGTGTGCCCCTGTTTGATTCCAGGAAGTAGTGAGTTCACGCTCCCAGGCTCACATTCCCATTATAACAGTCATGTACCTTGGTACTTTTGCGTGGACCCTGCAGAGCTCCTGGACTTGACTGCCCTCTTTGGAGAGCTGCACATCCAGTTCTATCTGCATAGGAGTCACCAGAATGCAAACATCTAAAAGCCATTGTCAAAGCAAATGACTGCGAGGGACACTCCCAGACTTGGTTCCAGTGCCATATCAAAGCAAAGGAGTACTGGCAAAAGTACCTGAAGACAAGGGACAAGAACAGGACCACTGGTAATGCTCCTACCACCTTGCCCATACTATGAGTCACTGGACACCTGACCCAGAGGATTTGGATATTATACAAGAACCCCATATGGACAGCCACCCTGAAACTGCTGTGGTGGAGAACTCTACCAGGAAGTATTACATAGTGTAACAGAATAAAACTGTACAGGGGGATTTAAACAACATTTTCTGGTACTGGCTGTCCACTACAATGTTGAAGGTCAGCCTGCTCAACCTTTAAACGCTGCCCTGCCCCACTCAAAATGGCACCCACAACAGAGACTTAAAGCTATAAAGTTTTATTTCCCTGAAGTATAAAATCCCACAATCATCAGTATCACAGGGATCAAAAAAGATCTCAAACACATTGCATGGCAAGCACATTTACAGTAGCAGCAGATACAGGAACCAACGAAGCAGCAGAAATTTTACTTTGCATCATAGTTTTACCAATGCACTGAGATTTAGGTGTGATGGGTTGGACCCCCCCTTTTGTGGTGCCACCTGCTGTGCTGGGGTCCCAATGAGCCTGCCCGTTCCACCAGCCTGGGCTCCTTCACCCTGTCTTACTGCACACACATGTAGTAACACACCCAGCTGTAGAATCACACAGTCTGCAATCAGTTCTGTGTGGGAAGACCCAGCTCGGGGAATTGACCAGCACTCTGGTGCACACACCCTCTGGAATGTGAACCCAAAATTATATTGTCTCGCGCTGTATAGAGATTGATATAACATAAGCTCATGAAATTCACCCCCTCCCTTAAGGTGGAGGAAGATATGCAAGCTTTCCCCCCCTCCCATCATGAATTGCACAAACTGGGTTTTGGAATAAACAAAAAACAAGTTTATTATCTACAAAAGATAAATGTTAAGTGATTATAAGGGATGGAAAACAGATTAAAGCAGATTACTGAGCGAATAAAACAAACACGCAAACTAAGCCTAATACGCTCAGGCCTTGTCTACATTGGCAAGTTTCTGTGAAGTAAAGCAGCTTTCTGTGTTGTAATTCCTGAGATGTACACACTACCAAGCCACTTGTGCGCAGAAACAGCACTGTAAAAATACCACCCCGACAAGAGGCGTACAGCTTTCTGCGCCAGGGCTACAGAGCTGCGGTGCCAGAGTAGACACCCTGGTCGGTTACAGCGCTGCGATTGGCCTCCGGGAGGTGTCCCACATTGCTTGTTCTTGCCTCTTTGGTCATTGGTTTGAACTCTACTGCCCTGCCCTCAGGTGACCAACCGTCATCCTCACCCCGTAAATTCCTTGGGAATTTTGAAAGTCCCCTTCCTGTTTGCTCGGTGATGCGTGCAATGGTCTCAGAGCATCGTTCCAGGTGGCCA